TGTGGTGGGCCCCGCAGGGCAGGTGGGGAGTAGGGCTGAAAGAAAGGGGCTGGGCTGGGAATGGAGGGAGGGGTCTTTGCGGTTTCCTGAGTCTAGCCCTGGGCAGGAACCCGGAGACAGAAGGCCCACGGCCATGGCCAGCAGCTGCGCTCCTCCCCCAGCACACCCTCAGACTTCTTGACCCTTCCCTTCACAAAGCCAGTTGCCAGTGGGGGCCTGTGTCAGTCCCTCTCTTGACCTTTCTGAAGCCTGGGAGGAGGACTGGCTGGCCTGCTCCTCAGGCCCTACTCCTTCAGTGTGTGGGATCCGCCCTTCCTGGGCGGCAGCCCTGCCCTCAGGTTCCTCTTCTGCCACCACCTCTGACATGGGTGTTCCCCGGCTCAGCTCTTGCCCTTGTACAAGCTGCATGGTCTGGACTGGTCAGCCACCTCTCCGGGCTCACTACTGTCATCATGAACACAGAGCTGACAGTGCCCGTCTCATGTGGTCGTCTTCATGAAAATGGGATAACGTGCACACAATGCTCACTCCTTTCCTGTCTAGCTCTCTTCTCGGTGAACACAGAGCTGACAGTGCCCGTCTCATGTGGTCGTTTTCATGAAAATGGGATAACGTGCACACAATGCTCACTCCTTTCCTGTCTAGCTCTCTTCTCGGGTCAGGCCCTTGGCCTCTTGACTTCTGGGGATCCTTAGTGGGGTCCCCAAGCTCAATCAGGGAGCTTCCCGAGCACACAGCAGGCCGCCTTCGCCCCTCCCTGGGAGTCTGGTTATGAAATCCAGCTGCCTGCATGGCCACCCTGACGTGCCATGCCCTTGCCTCCTGGACTCCTCTCTGTCCTCTGTCCACCCTCAAGGGCAAATTGGGCTCTGATGTTATTTTTTCTACCAGCCATGTTCTGTGACACCCCACGCATCCCCTGAGTGTCATCTCAACCTGGTGAGATTGTTTGAACACCAGGGTGGGTCCTGCCCACTTCAGAGTCCCCAAAGCTCAGGCCGGGCCCCACCCATGAGGTACAGTGAGGGAGCATCAACCAGCTGGGAAGGGCTTGGAAGGAGAGCGCAGCCCCTGGACCCAGTGCCTGGAGCCTGTCTGTCACAGCGGGATTGTGCTCTGGCACTGCCCAGCAGGAAGGAAGGGGCAAAAGTCACCTGGACTGTGTGGGAGGTTGGGTGGGGCAGTGCCAGCCCTAACTCTCCAGCTGTAACAGGGACGGTCGCTTCCTGGTCTTCCACCGTGTCCCTGGGGAAATGCTTTGAGGTGCTCAATTCAGCTGAGCATGGCCTGGGTAGGTGGGTGCCACTGCCCTCTCCCCTGCTGATGGAGACCAGAGGCTTCCCTGTTTCCCAAGGGCCTCTGCGAGGCTAAGGGCTGGGGGGGCCATGGAGGAGGGGAGCCCAGTGCCCCTGGCCAGGGGTCTACCTGAGTTGCAGGTTCTTCATGAAGTCCTCCATGGTCACTTGGTCCAAAAGCACAAAGTCGGGTTTGCCATACTCAGGGCCTTCTTCATCCTCCATCCTGCAGCTGGAAACACCCAGGCCAGGTTGCCCTGGCCTTCTCGTGCCGCAGCAGGAGGGCGGAGGGGAGGGGAGGTATGGGGCAGGCTCAGCTCCCCTGTCAGCCTCCTCCAGGGCTGCAGAAAAGTAGGAAGTGGGTTCTGGCCCTGGGAGGGGCTGCCCTCCCCTCTGAGATGCTCTGAGCCCACTTCCTGTTCCCTGCACCTCACAGGGAGGCTGTGCTTAACGGTCTATCCTACCCGTTTGCATGCCAGGGCCCGGGGCTGAGGCTGGATGCCAGCCCCTCCCCTCTGGAGGGCTCCTGGCTAGCCTCCTTTGGAAGCTCCCATACATCCCCAAACAGTAGGCAAGACTCTGTGGGCTGGTTTCCACCCCTGGCTGCATGTTAGAGTCACCTGTGTGACTTTAAAGGGAGATTTCTTGACATGGTTGTGGTTCCCCACTGTATGTGTCTGTCAACTCAGAACTGAACACTAGGTGAATTTTACTACATATACCTTATACATTAATACAAAAATGAAAAAGGATCCTAATGCCCAAGCCTTTGGGGTGGGAGACTAGATAACATTCTTAACAGATTGTCCAAGCTGCACTGGGGCGTAAATGACAAAGGGTCTTGTCTGACCTGGCCAAGGGACCAGTGGTCAGGACTCCTCACACTGCAACTCACCACCCCAGTGACCTGAAAGGGACAGAAAACCTATAATGTCCTCTGGGTGAAGCTGGCCTGCGATGGGACCCCTGTGCCCCTGATTGACCTTTGCTTTGTACTTCCAGCTGGCCCACCCTCCATGGACAGTGGCGAGTCCAGACACGTGCCTGCAGCCCTCCTGCCTCATCTCAGCTTGCACGGCTCTCAGGGCCTGTCGTCGTCATGCTTTGTCAACGAGGCAGCACATTTAGGAGGTGACCCAGCTGGCCACGGCTCAGATTTGTCTCCAAACACAGCCTTCCTGACAGCAATGCCTGCCTCCGGGACAAGTGGGGCAGTTCTCTCTCATCCCTCCCCTCCCTGGGAGGCCAGAGGGCAGACTTCAGTATCCTCAGCTTGGGTCCTTCATGTGCCACCTTTGAGATATGCCGTACTCAACAAACACTAGTTTAACAACTGTCTTTCAGACATCTCACTTTTTAAACTTTGAAAACATTATTTAATATGCAAGCTATTTTTTCTCTCAGATACCTTAAAATAAATGCATACCTAATAAAATTAAAACTGCTTATCTAAGTACCTGATAAAACTAAACCATGCATGAGCAGTGGTAAGGCGCCTCTGGCCTGAAAACCCCCACATCCGGAAATGGTGCTGGCTCCACCCTGGGCTGGGCCTAGGGTTCCTCTTGGGCAAATTTGGGTCAAGCTTCATCCTTCCAAGCTCTGACAAGTGAGGTTCCCTCCCCACCCCCAGCTTCTGGGCTGGTGCTTTTGAAGGGTTTCCCAAACCCACGCTCTAGAGCCTGGGGAATTCTCACTGAGTCAAGCAGACCATCGTGGCTGTGTTCCATTAAGATCTTAAGAGACACTGAAATGTGAACTTCACAAAATTTTCACCTGGTACAAAAAAGTAATCTTTTGGGTTTTTTTCCCCGTTAACAATTTAAAACTGTCAAGACCATTCTTAGCTCAGAAATCTCGGCTGCAGGCAGTTTGCTAGCCCTTAAGATCTTAAGAGACACTGAAATGTGAACTTCACAAAATTTTCACCTGGTACAAAAAAGTAATCTTTTGGGTTTTTTTCCCCGTTAACGATTTAAAACTGTCAAGACCATTCTTAGCTCAGAAATCTCGGCTGCAGGCAGTTTGCTAGCCCTGGCTTTAGAGGCTGGTTGCTGTGTGACTCTGGGCATGACCACAGGCATGACCACGCCGTCTCCGCCCTGAGTTTGCACAAGCACTTGGCTGCATTGCTCACTTGACTCTCACGTAGCATTTGCTGTCATTCTTACATCTATTGAAACTGAGGCCCAGAGGTGACATCATACCAAAGGAAGTTCCCCGCTGGGTGTGGACTGAATTTGGTGGCTCCTACTCAGACCTCAGGGAAATCCTGGCCTGCTGTTCAGCAGGCAGCACAAATGGTAGCCCTGTTTGCAGCTTTCCCAGGGCATGTCCTTATAGGGTTGACTAGTAGGGGAACAGCTGACAGGTGGGTGGCCAAAGGCAGAGACCACCAGACAGAAGGACAGCAGGAAGGGATCACCACCCACTCTGGCTGTTGTGGGCTGAGGAAACCCTCCTGGACTGGTGGCAGTTTTACTCTCCTTATTTCATCTGGATCAGTTTCAAGATGCCTCCCTCTAGGGGACCCTACTGCCTCATCTTGTCCCTCCCAACTACCCAGCTGCCTCCAAGCCCCAGACTTGCTGACCTGCTGCTGACTGCTGCAGCAGATCCCAAGAAAGTATCCCTTTCCAGTTTTTCAGCTGTCCTATACAATTGTACAATGTAGGGTCTGGACACTTTAACATTTTCATGTCATCTGAGGATATGGGTAGTTAGGTTAGTTGTAGGGGAATGACTCCCCTATGGCATCCTGGAAAGCCTGCACAAACCCACATGGGCCACACAGCTCACCTGAGCCTCATGAGCCTCCTGGAACTGAAGGTAGAGGATTGTAGGAGCTGCTCTGGGGCCACCTAGATTCTCCTCACCTCTCTGTGAGTTGCTGCAGTCTCCTGGGTTCTGAGGAAGCATGAAGCTTCCTGTCAACTCCCCCACCCTGTTACAGCTGCAGACCAGAAAACTGCTCAGAATTGGCTTCTTAGCAAGGGAACATGCCGTACCTCCAGTTGAAGGCCTTTTCCTTTCACCCTTTTTAGTGTATGAGACCAGGACCCAGGGAGCTGGCAGCTTTAGGTACTTTCCCTTTCACTACATCAGCAGTAAATTGAATGATAGATGCTCACTGTATCCAAAGTGGCTGAATTTGTCAGGCTTTGGCTGCTGTGACATTCCTTGATAACAGTATCACCAGCGTCTAGCTAGATGAGCTAGACCTGGGTGCAGCCACTGGTGGATTGTGACCAGTTACCTTTCAAATGAACTAGGCGATACTGGGGCACACTGCCCATACTAAGAGTATCAGCTCACATACTTTGGTTTCCATACTTAGGTGAGTATCTTTAGAGTATCTAAAGAAACACAAGCATACTATCAAGCCAACTGCTGAATATTACTGGAACCCACTCCAGGATCTCAAAGCGGATGTTCCTTTATGCCCCATCACCCCCACTGCAGAATTCACCAGTCGGCCTCAGATCTGTGATAATTACCACCACAGCATGCGACCATCAGTCCAAGCAGGTGGCACACACACACACAAGGTGATCACAAGTTCTAAGTGGCTATTGACAAGGAATGAGCACCAGGAATGGTGAACCACCTGGGGCTCCCAGACTTAGCTGTCAACACCTTCAGGAAGGGGCAGGGTCTTTCTCATCTTTGCATCTAGCATATGGAAAGGAGAAACAGAGGCTGAACTGAATCACACATTTAAAGCCATTATTTATTAAGTATTCCTTATTTTTCATTCAGAAGATGCTGGAGGGGCCTGGGTCCCGATCCACAGTGAGGCTCCTCATTCTGGAAGCAGAGCACGTAGTGTCCAAACCTGGAGTCAAAAGAATGTCAAACAAGCAGCCCAGGCCTTGATCCACTCACACCCCAAGCCTGGGCCAAGAACCAGAAGTTCCCGACTCCTAGAAGGGGAGCAAGTGAGGCTTCAAACCTGCTCAGACAATTAAGGTGCCAACATCTGGGTTCAAATTCTGCTCCACTCCTCACTATGTGTGTCAACACGGGCTCGCCCTGCTTCTCAGTATCCACATCCTCATCTCTAAAAATGAGATTAGAAACACTTCAGAGACCTTGTGGAAACTAAGTGACCCGATACACACAACCCTGGATGTTATAAACATCTATTGCCATGAGTGTCAATAACAGAAGTGACCCGAAGTTCTCGACTCCTAAACCCACTCCCACCATGAGCTGAGGCCTCTGTGACTGACCTAGCAGCAGCCACACCCTTTCCAGGCTGGCACACCACTGACCCAAGGAGATTCTGGGGAAAAGGGTGTAGGTTGAAGCTAAACCACAAAGGCAGTCAAATACTATCCCCAAGAATCAGGGCCCCATGAGTCCAGATACTACACAACTGTCCCAAATAGTCTCTTGAGCTTCCAGACAACTAACCTTACTAGGACTCAATCACCTGACTTATAATATGGGAAGGTCAGAATAAATTCACGGGTTTTGAACTTTTTTTGGCCCTGAGACTCACGGAAAACTAACATACAAAGCAGTTCCTGCACTCTTACCCCTGCACAGGTTCCACAGGAATAGCCTGACATCCACTGAGGGGATCTCCTCAGGCCTTTGTAGCTCTGGCATCCTGGGATTGCTGCTTCTGAAACTCCAAGGTACGGCAGACACCCTTGTGCCACGTGCTGGGGCAGGAACACAGAGTGGAGCTGCTGGGCAGAGACAGCTGTCAGGAACTGGGCAGGTCTGAGATGCCCCCTCCTTGCAGCTAGCTTGCCAGCTTCACGGATGCTGGCAGAAAAAATAGAACTCCTCGAGCAGAGACAAAGGACAATTGATTATTCATGGCAAAGCAGTAGCCAGCATTTTCCACCACCCTCCTAAGCCCCAGTTTCTATAGGGTGATATAAGCGGAGTTAGAAGGCACCTGCACAAGCAAGGGGCTGCGCTATAGGAAAGGCACCTTGAGTGCAGGACTCATGATCTTTTACTATGGACAGCAAGCATGCCTCCGCTCTGCCCTGGAGGAGGCTGTCTGCTGCATAAACATCCTTGAAAAGATTACCTGGGACAAAGGGCAGACAGTGCCTCATTCACAAGACTGTGGAAACATGACACTCCCAGAGAAGCGCTTCCTGACAGCAGGCCTGAAGCTTTCAGTAGCTGCTCCTAGACTGAAGAGACAGATAGTCAGCTGGAAGCCTCGACCTTCGAGAGGTGACCCCACCACCCAGACAAACACAGGAGCTGTGCTGCTTGTGCTATGACCAAGCTGGCAATACTCTTCTCACCCTACTTCTTCCTTCCCTCACTGCGCCCAACAGTCCTCACACCAAGACAAGAACATAAGTGCATTTCCCTCCAACTCAAACTTCCCACCCGCTTCTAGATCCCAGTCAGCCTTCCTGGCCTGGCATACTAAAAAAAAGCACAGGATGTAGGGTAAAGGGACCTAGTGTCAAACCCCCATCTGCCAGTTTTTGGGTCCCTCTCATCTGTACTGGACCTCATGTACTACCTCATGGTGTTGCCTCGAATATTTAACTGTGTGAAAAATGAGCAGGTTTGGCAAAATCCAGGCAGTTAACCAACATTAGCGCCCTCCTCTCCCATGAGGTGTTCCTTTAAGATCAGCATACCCACCTCGCCCTCCATTAGCTCCCAGGTATTCAGCCCTTCTGCAGAACAGAGCCTTTGTTTCTCTTTGCTTTGCCCTCTAACTATAAATACGCTGTACCATCGGTCTGTCAGGACAAGGCTCTTCCCTGTTATTTCTCTCTACTCTGGTTCAACTCTCACCATTTAGCTTCTACTCTGGATCAACTCCACCTCTCTGAGCTTCATTTTGCACTTATAAGGCTTTTAAGGACATAATAAAATTTGTACTGAGCTTGGAGCATACACACACTCAGTGAATCCCTTTGCACCTTTTACACCAGTATTGTCCAAAACAACTTCTGCAAAGACAGAGATATTCTCTATTCTGCATGGTCTGATATGGTAGCCACATGTGGCTACTGAACACCTGAAATGCGGCTAATGTGACTGAAAAACTGGACTTTAAATTTTATTCAATTTTAACTTAACCATATGTGCCAAGTGGCTGCCACATCAGATGGTGCAGATCTGTACAATGCACAACATCCCAGATCCAGAAGGGAGCAAGCAATTGTCTGAAATTTCTATAACCTTGCTCTGGATGGAGCAGGGCAAGGCCTCAAACCATTTCGAAAGTGTTCTGGCAAGCACTGTAGGAATGCATAGGGTCACTGCAGACCCAAGCACGCTGGAGGCTTGCTGCCCACATTCACCCAAACTCCCCACACCCCAGGCACCTGGCAGTACACTTTCCGTGAGACCAGCCCCTGCAGTAGGTTTAGGGGAAAACAGACCATGGAGCTGAATTAGGCACAGTGAGCTCAGTTCCAGGAGCCTGCAGCTACAGGTAACTCTCAGGGGAACAGCCTTTCTGGCTGAGGGAGTAAGAGAAGGTGTAAACTAGTATTAAATAGATCAGACAACAGGAGCTAGACTTTCACACCAGTCTCTGAGACACTATAATTCTAGTGTGGTGCTTCTTAAACTCATATGACCACAAAAATGTCCATACCGGCATGTAGTTATACAAAAACAGCGGTTTTTTCCTTATTCTCAACATGTACTTTATATCTTGCAAAACACTCTGAACTAGGGTATAGACCACGACACATGAGTAGATTCGATAAGGTCTTTCCCCACGAAATAATGGTTGAGAGAAAATGTGGGCCCAGTTCCGCGAAGGCGGAGATTGGGCCTCCACAATGTGACTTACCGGGGCATCTCACAGAACAGCTGCTGTGACAGTCCTACTTCGCGGGACCGTCCACATGGCCACGACTTCCACCTAGAAGGAGACAAATGCAGTCAGCTCCAGCCTGTGTCACTGAACCATCACCCAGCTCTAATTCATCGCCACGCCTGAATCCCTCTACAGCATCTCTTTTTTCATTATCTTTTTATTTTTTTGCGGCTGGCCGGTACAGGGATCGACCTGGACCTTGGTGTTATCAGCTGCACGTTCTAACGAATGAGTAACCGCCCAGCCCTCTACAGATCTCTTGAGGCGGGCTTACTCACGATCCAATCCCCAGCGGGGTCCCTCGAGGTCTCGCAGGAGAAACCCCTCTTCTCTTCCGAACGAGACCCTCAGAAGGACTGCGTGAGTCACCCTATGGCCGCCCAGTCTTCTCCGGGGAAAATGCTCCAAACACTCTCGACTGTCCCTCGCAAGGAAGCAGCACGCGTAGGCCCGGCCTCCCGCCACAGAGTCCTCACGACCCCGACCCGGGCTCAGGAAAAGGCAGGCATCGCCTGGGAGTCCCGATGGCGGGGGATGATGAAGACGCCCGGGAGTAGGTAGCCGGGAGGAGGGACAGCGGCGATCACCAGCCGCCTCACGCCTGGCGTCGGTGTGCCCCGCCCCGAAGCCGCGCGCGCGCGCCACGTGACCACGTCGCGGGCAGATGAGGAAGGCGCGGGCGCGGGGGCGTGGCCTAGGGCGCTCGGGACCCGGCGGGCTGGGGCCGAGTGAACGGGGTGTCGTAGGATTGTAGAGTGTTCTGAAGGGGACTGCTCGATTTGTAGAAGATACGGACTACATATTCAAGGGTCTTGAATATGAGGCTGGAAAAGCAAGTACTTGGTTCTGTAGGTAAAGAAAAGCCAAGCAGTGTCTGAAACTCCTATTTTGTGTGTAGCACCTAGTAAACACATTCAATCACTTTACAGAATAGATTCTATATTTCGTTAATGTCAAAACCCTAAGACACAGGACTATTACTTCCAGATTACTAACATGGAATCTAATGCTTACTCAAAAAGGTTAAGTGGTTTGCCCCAAATCTAGAATGCCCAGGGCCTGATGCAGGTTGTCCTAGCACAGGGAAGGTGACCAGGAAAAGCAGAGTAAACAAATGTAAGGTTTGTTGTGCAGATTTAAGTCCCTGCCTTCACTGATAAGGGTCTCTAGTAACTTAGAGTCATCCTCTTCTTCATGGTACAGAGCAGACACCCTTACAAATGGAGATTTCTTTTATAAATGTAAATTTCCCTTACAAAAGGGTAGCTTCTGCTATTTCTGAAAATAATTAGCTCAAAATAATCCTTATGCCAATGAGGCATATTTTGGGGTAGCATATTCTGGTCTCTTACAAATGAATGCCAGAAAAGAAAATTAGCAAGTTGACTCTGGAACAATAAGCAGTTATAACCAAGGAGATGTCAAAGTGGGGCTTGCAAGATTGCCTTGGTTGGGGGCCAAACAGGACTGCTGTATTTCTTTTTAAACAATGTTTAAAATTTTAAAATTTTTATTGAATCATATTTGATTATACATATTTTGGGGGTTCAACGTTGACATATGTTGATCAAATCAATATTACTAGCATATATATTGTTACAAATCTTTTTATTCTTTATGCCCTCTGTCCAATCTCACCCTATCCCCCTCTCTCACCTCTGATAACCCTAGATTTCTTCTCTCCTTCTGAAAGAGTAATGGTTACTTCTGTTGATTTGTTGCCTAGATAATCTGTCCAATGCTGAGAAGTGTGTTCAGGTCCTCCAATATTACGTAGAGCAGATGCTGCTTCTGTCACTCCGGAATGGGCTTTGGGGAGAGAGACGTCCTCTTCTTTTCTTTGGTCTCTTCTGGTGACTCTCCTTGTGTCAATGCATTCCAGTGGCTGGTGGACCATCTGTGTGGTGGTTGTGGCATCTAGCTGCTTTCGTGGCAGCTGTGGTTATTGTGGCTGTGTTGGGCCACCCACATGGATGTGATTTTTTGGCATGCTCCTTGGCACTGGCGATGTACCTGGTTGTGGGAGTGGAGGGGGGGTGGTCCCCAGCTTCGTGCCTCAGGGCCCCAGGTGGTCCCTGAGGTGCTGGCAGTGTGCCTGGTTGTGGGAAGGGGTTCTGGTCCCCGGCTCCATGAGGATGGCTGTATTTCTGAGGAGTTATATGATATAGAGTTGGTTTGGTCCTTCATGATTTAGAAGGCTGGAAACTGGATATTATAAATTCATTGAGACTTCACTGTAACCAACTCTAAAGGGACTAAGTCTTTCCTTCATTGATTAAGTCAACACAGATTCATTACATGCAGGGATGGCACAGTGTGAAGTGTTGTATGGCATATGCCAAAGAGTAACTCAGAGACATCTAGTTATTTGCAGGCTGTGAGTTTGCATAAGGACAATTGACTGAGAGGGACAAAAAGGGAAAAACTGGTCAGCCTCGGGAACAGTAAAAAGATCAACTTTAAAAAAATCAATTAGCTGGAATCTAGCCAAGATGCAAGTCTGGGGACATTGTCTTTGAGTAGGCCAATTAAGGGTAAATTTTTAGTGTTTAGGGGTTTCCTGAAAACCCAAGATTCTAGCTGGGAAGCATCTGTGTGAAGCTGTGTCCAGGCAGTATTGCCAGTGTCTTTCCAACTCAGTGTGGCCAGGTGTTCATCATCTCCCTCATTAGAGTTTCTAAGAGGTGTGTGGAAATGTCCCTTCCTTCAAAGGAGCTTATAGTCGAGTACAGGAAATGTCCTAAACGTGGTTTTCTCTAGCATCATAGCCACACAAATTGCTCTGGGAACCGGAGGAGGGAAAAATTGCACCCAAAGATTTATTGGAAGAGGTGATACTTGAGCTAGGTGACAAAGTCCAACAGCCAAATTCACCAGGAGTCCAACAAAGTTGGGTTTATTAATGTGCTGCAACCACCTGAGGAAGGTGGGCCGCCTTTTATTATGAGGGGGTAGGAAGGGGGTTTTGTAAGGTTTGGGCTGGCCCTGAATAATTCTGAGGAGGGGAGAGGGGAGCTGGGGATCAGCTCTAGATTGTTGCTTTCATGAAGTGTGGGTAGTTTAGTAACTGGGTATCTAAGTCATTTTTGATCAAGAGGTGGGAGCCTCAAAGCAGGCTAGAGAGTTGTTGGTAAGGAAGCAGTAATTGCTCAAAAGAAGGAGACTATTGGGGCACTTTACAGTGGAGGTATGATGTTGGGAGAAATATTGCTTTCTGTTGTCATTGCAGCTGGTCTTATTGAGGTCTGTTATGAATACACAAACAGAAAATGGCCAGACCATTTATACAACTAGAACTCTGACCTGCAACCTACCTAGAAAACCAACTCATTATCTACAGTAATCAGCCCAGGAAACCAGCCTGCTGTAAGACAGATTTGAAAGAAGCCAGACTGCTGTCTCCTCACAATCCAGGAGGCTAAACAATAACTTCTATAACACTCATCCCGAATGGCTACGACTTGATTAATAACTGAGAGCTTCCCTAATTTTTATCCCCACTTCCAACTTAGGACCAACTAGAAAAAGTAAAATATGTACTCCTAACCAATCACATGGATGCCCTGCCTCCAGCTTCCCCAGGCCAACAGCCTCTAATCAAGGCATTCCTGGAGCCTTCCCTTTTTCCACTAGAAGGCTTACATACTCCTCTGCCTACCTTTGAGTCTCTGCCAAATGCAAGTGATGGTGTCAGACTCCCTTGTTGCAGCAAACTGAATAAATAGCTTTTGCTTTTCTCATTTGGTTGTCTTTATTTCCAGTTTTCGCCATCTGATTATGAGTAGGTGGATTTTTACTTAAGCATGGGCTTGTGTATGCAGAGATGAGGAAAAGTCATTCTAATGGGTAGGGGCAGCCTGAGGAAGTCAGCACCTCCAGAATCAGGCTAAGGGAAGGTTTAGTAGTGTTATTTATTGCATTACAAGGCTGGCCGATTCTCAGTTGGTTAGAGTGTGGTGCTGATAACACCAATGTCCAGGGTTCGATCCCTATACCAGCCAGCCACCAAAAAAACCAAAAACGGAAAAGTCAGTTTATTGCATTACAGAGTGATAAATGCGGAAAGTTACATTAATGGAAGACTGCAGAAGACTTTAAACATCAAACCTTTATTTTGTGAGTTGTGGTGGAATAATGACAACCACGTTTACTGCACCTTTTTTTCCCTGGCAGCTGGGGCTGGCAGGTGCACTGCAACATTTGTGTTTGTGAATGTGGCAAGCTGGCTTATAGCAGAAAGTAGACTGAAAGGGCATTTCCTGCACCGCTGCTTTATCTGCCAAAGGGACTGGAATACCTTTGGGGAGTGCTAGGTACCAACTATTTCTTTGGTATCTGTATCAAACAGGTCCAATCAGGAGACAGAAACTCAGTATAGGAAAGATTTAATATAAAGAATTATTAAGTATAACAGGAGGTTAGGGTAACAAGAGATTAAAGAAGACAAGAACAGTAGACAGAAGGAGCAGCTACTATTCTGAGGGCTGAGATAAAGCATCCCAGGAAGTACCTCCACCCCCTCCTCACCTCACTCCCAGGGCTGAGACCCAGACCTTGTTGGAGAGCGCATAGCCTCAACTAGCTGAACAGCACAGAACTTCTGGGAGAACTTGTTGGAATTCTGCTCTCTAGGGTGCCAGGGAAGGCTGTTGATGGGGAGGTGTCTTGCTGAAGCACTGGGATATAAAACTTTCCGAGGGCGTTGCTGGAGGAAACTCCTGGCTGCTGGGTTCCACTGGCAGGTGTGCACTGCAGAAGCCAGGTGCTGGGGAAGCCGCCCCAGCTGCGGAGAACCTAAAACTAAAGAAGCTACCCTTGATGTGAGAGGTGGGCACTGAGGAGGCCTCTCCTTCTGCAGGCACCTGCCAAGAGCGCTCAGCAGAACCAGGCAGCCAGTCCTTTATGCTGGCTGTGCTTAACATTGCGCCCTCTGGCAAAGGAGAAATGCTTAAATGGCCCAGCTCCACGTTCTCGTAGAAGGAAGTGAGAAATGAATGTAGAGCTGAGAGACAATACATTGACAATTGGCACAGTATCCAATATTTTTAAGAATCAGCTGAGACAAATATTGGTTTCCTTTGGTTTCAGTTTATGTTCTAGTTGTGTTGCAAGGTCCTTACTGGCAATTTCATTTAGTGGCAAAATAGCGGGCCTGCTGGTGACTCCGATTTGCAGTTTGATTTTGGGCAAAATCACCTGATTCCCTGGACCTCGTCTGTAAAATGTGGTAATTATTCTAGATGGCTGTTAAGGTTCCACGGCTTTATTCTTATAGGGTCTGGACGCCCTTGCTATTGGAATAATATTTTCCTGATGTGTCGTCCAAGAAAGGAAGGTATTAGAACAGAAAGAAGGTCAAGGGTTCGGAGTTCCAACCGGCCAGTCGCCTTCCCCGCCCCCCAAAACCAAGGCATTTTGCTGTCCGGTTAGCTCACCTGGGAGAGCGTGGTGCTGACGACAAGTGTTCGGATCCCCTTAGCGGCCAGCCGCCAAAAAAAAAAAAACGGAGAGGAAAGATTAGAAAAGGGTTTCCCTGAGGCGGAGACAATCAAAGGGGATAACAGAAGAAAAAGGAGGAAGTGGCGTCACACCC